ACTAATCGAACTATATAAAAATAATAATAATAATAATAATAATAATAATAATAATAATAATAATAATAATTATTATTATTATTATTATTATTATTATTATTTTGTTTTATTTTATATTTTCTTGTGTAAAAATATTAATTACTTTTATTCATAAATATAGTATTGTTGATAAACGGATTTGATCAACTTTTTATATCTGAACTTTAAGATTAATGCGGTAACGAGACGATTTTATTGAATAACTGGAGAGTATTTAAGAAAACATCAAGTCGGTTTTTAAGGACTTGAGGTCGGTTTTTTTACAGTGCAATGATATTAAAACTGGCGATAGCCGAGGTGACTAATGCAGAATTTATGTGTCGGGAAAAAAGATCCTCGTATTGCCTTTATTGCTGCTATTTATAGTAACTGAGGGGGTTCATCTTTTGAGGAGATTCGGCGGCATTTAATGCGGAATGACGTTTGCGCAGCCTTTTTGTCAGTGGGCCCCCTTCTCGCAATGATGTCTCCACATGGGCCTTAAACAATCGATGGACAAGCATTAAATGCTGCCTGTCGGCTCCGACGTCGGCCTGCGCCCGAGGTTGCCTCGTTCTAGAGGTCGGCTCCCAGACAAGGTCGGCTTCCACAGGTCGGTCAGTCGTTTCTCTGCACTCCTCGGCCAGGTCCCTTTACTTTCTCGTCATCCACGTGTCGTCCATCCAACGCTTGAGTGAACTTTTGTGTCAACAAGTATTAAATAATAAATGAAAAGATTGAAATGTTAACTATATTTTAATTAATTACAAAATCTAAAGTGAAATATATTGAAATTTAGAAAATTGCAATTGAACCCCTATGACTTATCAAATTTTCAACACATTTCCCCCTTATTTCTCCTCCCCAAACCACCGCACTCTTCAGTAATCTCAGCCATGGCAGATCCGATTTTCGTTCGACCAAGGCTTGACGCAAAGCTTCATGTTCGAGCAGGAGTCACAAAGCCTCATCGACCTCTGCACAGAAAGCCTCCTCGCCGGCGCTGCCTGTGGATGGCGCGATGGAACTGCGGATGACGAGGCGTACAAGGGTTGGCGGAGTGGACGACGTCTTCTCCGGCGCGGCATAGCACGATCGACTGAGCCCAGCAGGTGACGGCGGCTGAGGTAAACTCGCTGGCCTTGCGTGGAAGTTGGAGTCGCCGGCAGCGATGTGACCGGAAAAGTATGTGGCGGCGGCGGTACTGTGGACGACCGGACGACGACTCCATCGAGTGTGTGTGTGTGTTTATGTTGTGTGTGCAGGTGTGTGTGTGTGCGTGTGCAGGTGTGTGTGTTGTGTGTGTAATGTGTATGTGCTTGGGTGGGGAAGACGATGAGGGTGGGGTAGGGGGTTGGTGGGGTGTAGGATAATTATGGTGAATTAAATGTTGGTATTTGTGGGTCCTACATGTTGTTGTTGTTTTATAATTAAAATGTCTAAACTACCCTTAATTATTGGTGAAATATACATATTTGACTACAATGTGATCAAATAATTACCAGATTGTCATGAATGAATGACCATAATTTGACTTCATCATAGCCATTGATATGATTAATCCCATGGTTCATATTTATTCTCATTTCTTTCCTAGAGCATCATTCTCACATGATCCTAACTCTATATATATATATATACGGTTATTATACATATATAATATATATACGTTATATAAATATATAAATTATATAAATGTTATATATATGTATATTATTTTCTTTATATATAATTT